CAGAAGTGGTGTGCCGAGTCTTCATTTATTCACTCTAATTTAAGGTTTCGCGTGCCAGTAATACATTTTAATGTTTTTAGAAGGTCTCTTTCTATAACTCTATAATATATAACTAAACTATTGTTGTATGTAAAGCTTCATTTAAAATTAAATTAAAATGCAGAGCCCCCCGGACCGGTGGCCAGGACCCAGGCAGTGTGAGTGCCACTGAAAAATCAGCTCGCATGCTGCCTTTGGCAAGCATGTGATAGGTTGCCTACCCTTGTATTAGACTCAAGTGGCATGTAGTAACTGTGGCCGCAACTGGCACAATTAGAGCAGAAAAATCAATGAACATGATGCAAAAACCCACTTTTGCTGCAATTGTGAAAGGGCTAGATTTAACTCCCACCATCACAGAAGAAAGATTTCTGCACACTTTTGTTACACAAAAAGCTTCTTTCTCCAGATGTTCTTTCCTTTTGTTAGTCTGTCACACCATTAAAAAAGAAAAATTGGCCCCAATTCTAAGTGTCTTTTCACAAAGGCACTATGGAGAAACACTTCCTCTGCTTATTCTCCTACTACAGTATACCAGTAAGACACTTCGATAGAGTTCCTCAACACGTAGAGAAAGGACAACTGAAGCTTTGAGAGATATTCATCTATAGATTTCCAGATTAAAAAATAAAGGTTACAATGAAGTTAAGGTTGAGTAGACAAAACAAGAACACATTAGAATTTTTAACACACTAAACTTTGAAAAGCTTGGAAATACAAAGAACATTCCAAGTACGAAAAACTACCTGGAAAACACACTCGTGAGATAAAGGTCACTATCTTCTACCTTGCCTTCATTTAGTGTTTGCAAGACAGTCTCAAAAAATATATTTTTTTTTCTGAAAGTTTAGTTAAGCAAGAATTCGTTTTCCTAAGAGCTTATACTCTTATAACTGCCTATAACTCTAGACATGGAATAGTTTCCCACACCCATAGGAACAGGCCTCCCCATACCTTCTGAGCTTTAGATTAGGCTTGAATAAAGACTGGGAGTGGATGGGTCATTATGCAAAGTAAAAACTGTTTCTCCATGCTCATTTTTCCCCCCTACTGTTACTCACACCTTCTTGTCAACTGTTGGAAATGGGCCATCCTGATTATCACTACAAAAGTTTTTTTTCTCCTGCTGATAATAGCTCACCTAAAAGCTTACCTTAATTAATTACTCTCGTTACAGTTGGTATGGCAACACCCATTTTTTCATGCTCTCTGTGTGTATATATATATATATATATATATATATATCTTCCTACTGTATTTTCCACTGCATGCATCCGATGAAGTGGGTTTTAGCCCATGAAAGCTTATGCTCAAATAAATTTGTTAGTCTCTAAGGTGCCACAGGTACTCCTCGTTCTTTTTAGAATATTTACTAACTCATTGGAGAGTCTATGACAAACACTGGGAAACGAGAGTGAACCCTCACAAAGCATCCTAAAGCTCAGCGAGTATATCTATGCTACAACCAGCAAGTCAGAGATGCACACTCAGGAAACAGCTGCACTTGGGACTGAGCTGCAAGGTTTACACGGCCGTTTTTAGCACCATAGCACAAGCCCAGGTCTGTTGACCCAGGCTCTGAGACTCACTGCCACAGGTTGTGCAGACATACCCAGAGGGGGGGATGGGTCCCCAATGAGCTTACATCTCATAGTGGCAGCAGCCCTACAAAAAGCCTCCTGAAACTAATGAGCATATCAAGTAGGTCTAAAGGAAGGGAGTGAACACTCTCCTGGTCACTCACTCTAGCCTCACCATCATGCAACACTCAGGTCTGCAGAAGCAGAGTTCCTTTCCTACAATTCTCAGGAAGTCCACAGGGAGCAATGACTGTGTGAGAACAGGGAGACTTTGGTGGGAAGAAGTGAAAGGGGCATATCCCATGATTCCTGAGACCTAAGAGAGGGGATTAACCTGTTGAGCCTTTTGATGGACTTTTTTTTCCACTGTCAAATGTCCCAAATGACCAAGAAGTTATACTTTGAGCTTTCTCTCTGCAAGAGAAAGTGAAAAGTAATTGAATGTTTACAATTCCAGGGCTCCGACATGCTATATACTACGCATTCCAGAGTTGACCTTCTCTGGTGTAGCTCAAAAAAAAAAAAAAGCTAATTTTTTTTAATACAATGAACATTTTAGTTATATGCACTAGATCTCAGCTATGGGAGTCCACTTAAGTAGTAGTATCTTTCTATTTTGCCATTTTCTAATAAAAAAAGGTAAAGGAGTTGTGAAACTACTTCCTTGTTCGGTCAGGGTATCAAGGCTGAAAAATCAATCACTTAGTGGTCAAAGCATCACTCTGCTGCAATCTATAACTAACATGGGCTTCCAAAGAAGGCTAGCCTCAAACAGTGAGATCAACAGCAGAGTATTCACAGTTAGACACAAAGATTTATGAGTATAGTATACTCCCAATTATCCGAATAGCATGGGGGACAGAGATTTTATTCAGAAAATTGGGTGTTTGGATAAGTGCAGGAGTGGCAGCAAGCCCTTTGCAGCTCCGCTGTCATGACCCTGCTCATTCACTCCTGTAACAGCAGGCTGCAGAGGGCTCCCTTTGCTGCCACTCCTGCCCTCCCGATTATTGCAAGCCCAATGTGTGACAGCATGGCTGCGGTTCTGGAGGAGCAGAGACCAGCCCCCAAGCCAGGACTCTGCTCTGCCAAGTCCACAGCCTTCCTTGAATCTGGAGCCTTCAGGGATCGGGTGTGACCAGCACTGTGGCAGCACAGAAAGTCCTCTGCAGCTCCTCTGTCACAAGCCCTGCTCACTCACTCCCACGACATCAGAGCTGCAGAGGACTCCCTGTGCTGCTGCAGAAGCCATTCAATTGCAGGCTGGATGGCTTCCCCCACAGCTAGGGAGGTAGGCTCATCCTCCTCCTCCTCACAGTCCTGGGCAGGGGTACCTACTCTCCATTATCCAAATCTCCATGTTATCTGAATCCTTTCTTTGCCCCCCACACTCCTCCCAACATGAGCTACATGTGGGAAAAAGAAAGGATTCAGATAACAGGGAGGAGGTTTGAATAACCTCAAGCAGGACATCTCCACAAGCCACAAGGTGGGTAAGTAACATCTTCTGACAAACCAAATGTGCTAAGATAACTTCACTCTTGTAATTAGTGGTCTCTCAAGAACTTCACTCTATCTTAGCTCCCACCTCATGGCTACGTTTCTCAAATGTGTGCCTGTCTTGGCTCACGATAGTTTTGTCCTAGTACTAGCCCACCCCTGGCAAGGCTCCAGGGCTCTCCCAGTTCAATCCCCACAGCGGGACCAGACCATCTCCTTCCCCGCCGCTGCTCGGGAGCCTCGGCCGGGCCAAAGGTCCCCGTCTGCGATACCAGGGCAGAGGGCGTTTTCTATTGCCGCTAATCCCCAGGCCGCTGCCCACCAGCTCCCCGTCCAAGGGAAGAGCCACAGCAGTGGGGCAGGCCACAGCTGGGGCCCGCTCCAGATCCGTGTCAAAAGCAGGGGGGATAACCCCGGCCCGGCGGCGGGGTCAAACCACTGCACCGCTCCCCTCCCCGAGCGGCTCCTACACTCACCCGGCGGCGGGCGGCTCCCGCACTGCGGGCCTGGCGCCGCGGCGGGGGGCGGACACGGCGGCCTGAGGCTCACCGCCCAGTAACTCGACGTTGGTGACGCTCTTGCCGAGAGTGAACCAGTCACTGATCTGGTCGAGGGTGAGCTTCCGCAGCATGGCGGGGCCCGGGCCGTAAAGAGCCGGCCTAGCGGTCAGGTTTCCCGCGCGACAGCCGGCCGGACCCGAACTCACGGAGCCCTTGCGCCGCCACATGCACCTCGCGCGGTCGGCTGGCTCCGCCCCCTGCAGCCCCGCCCTCCAGCCACGTGCTCACACTGCGCAGCCGCGGCCAGGACGCGAGGTGTTTAGTGTTCTGCGCTGCCTCGCTCGAAGGTCCCTTCACCTCTCTCCTTGGTCCTTACAATTCCTTCGTGCAGTGCTATGGAGAACCCCCCACTACAGCTTCCTCCCCTCCCACCTCTAGTAGGGCACGAACCGCACCCTTTCCTTCCTGCATCCCTGCCAGCGTCTCCCGCATGCCAGGGTAATGCGCCTCTCCCTCCCTGAATCCCAGCCACGGACAGCAAATGCCCCTAGCATCTCCTGGACAATAGCATCCCCCTGTAACCACCCCCATACATTACACAGACACACCCCATAACCCGTATGACTCCCACCTGGCAAATCCCGCTCCCTGCCTCTAAAACAAGCCATCCCCCAGACTGCATGGGGAAGGCCGTGCAGGACAATTGTGAGTTCAATCCTTGAGGGGGCCATTTGGGGATTTAGTTGGGGATTGATCCTGCTTTGAGCAGGGGGTTGGACTAGATGATCTCCTGAGGTCCCTTCCAACCCTAATAATCTATGATTCTATGACACGGGTTGTGCTCCTTCCCGCAGGAGGCGCTGTGGGGGGGACCAAGGGCTGTTGGGGTTCCTCTCCATCAGGGCAGTGCAGGGGGGCTATTGCGCTGGGTTGAAGTCGCACTGAAGGAACAGCTGAGCCCCCCCCTCGAAGGGCTATAGGGGAAGGGCAGGGCTCTGAACGATCTCCTCCGGGGGGAGTAATGGTGGGCATAGCGCTGAGCGGGCTCTTCCGCAGTAGCGGGTGCTGTGGGGATGGCAGGGCCTCGAGCAGGCTTTATGGCAATTGGCAGGGGGCTGAGCGGGTTTCTCCCGGCAGGGGGCGCAATAAGAGACAGGGCGTTGAGACAGGGGTGCAGTGGGGGAGGGAAGGTCACTGAGTAGGTTGCATGGCAGGGGGGCGCGGCGGGGGAAGGGCGCTGAGGGGCCCTTGCCGGTAGGGGGCGCTGAGGCGAGGGCAGAGCGCACTTTAGCTGAGGTAGCGGGGCTTGCTAGGGTGCCTGTGGCTCCCGCTCCTCTCTGGCCTAGGGGGCGGGGCGCCGCCGCTGGAGACGTTCTAGCTTCTCCTCTCGTTGGCGGTTCTTTTCCCAGCGTCCCGAGCGCGGCAGCAGCGGCAGTTCCATTCCGTGACCTTCGCCAACCGCCCGTGTGTCACCGGCTCCAAGGTGGGTTCGGCCCGGTTCGTCCTGCTGAGGGAGCTGAGGGAAGGCGGGTTCCCCCAGGTCTGCCGCGAGCGCGGCTGCGGCCTTCCTCGGGCGCTGTAGGCCCGCGGGATTCATGCCGGAGCCGGGCCCAGCTGCCAAGAAGCCGGGGGGGGAGGGGGAGGAGAGGAGCCGGCCCGGCCCGGCAGTTGGGGAAGAAATCCGGGGGCTGTGCCCTGGCAATGCTGGGGGGAGGGAGAGCGCGGAGATCGGTTGTCTCTGAGCCTGACCTGCCTCCCCCTGGTTGGGGGTGGAGCAAGTTACGTTGCTCGGCAGCCTACAAACTCGGGGTTCCCTCCGTGATGATGCACGTTTCCCCTCCAAGGTGGGTGGACGGGGTGGCAGGCACTTCATGGTGGGTGAGGCCTTCGCAAAGGCCTTCTCTGCTCTGCAGCGATGCTTCAGATCCCAAAGCACTCCTCGAGTGAACAGGCCAGGGCTCCGCAGCTGTATTAGGCACCTAGTAGCCAGAAGCTGATGTAAAAGATGGGCCAATACCTTGTAGAGTGCCCGGGTTTCTCTCCCCCCCCCCCCCCCCCCAGTAGCTGAAGGGTGCTGAGCTTTTTAGTGTGTTTATTTAGTGGGGATTTCATTTTAGCCTATTAATGCAATACAAATTTGAAGTTGTACACCCTGATTTATTTGGTTGCTAGTGGGAGAGAAAGCATTTTGTCCATATACGTTCCTTTTTTTTCCTTTTACGTCACAGCCACCTGTTGCTTTGATAGGTATATGCATCTGTTAGTCTGCATTGCCTCCTAACCCTTGTTCTAAGCAGAAGCCATTTGAAATGTATGCAGTCTTTCTCGTGGTTCTGAGTAGCAGAAATGAAAACACAACACTAGTTTTTTCATTCAGCTACATGTCAGGAAAGGTAACAGGTGTAATAGAGCTGTCTCTCCACAGTCCAGGGAAGACATCATTGCATTGCTGTGTATTCAGAAGTTTTTCACAGCAGTAAGGGTTAAATGTCCTTTTAAACGAATGCTTACATATTGCCTATTTGTGGTAGCATAGTGCTTTGAAGCTCTAGTAATGAACCAGGACAACGTTTTGCTTGGCACTGTAAGCAAACAACAAAAAGAAAGATGGTCTCTGCTTCAAAGATGACATTAGTCTCACCTCCTTTTCCACTTCTCCAACTTTCTCCCCATATATATGCCAGGAAGAGTCTCCTATTTACTATTAGCAAATAGGTCAGTGGAACCTGGACCTAAAGTCCCCTGCAAACTCTGTCCTTCCTTCTTACAGTTTTGCAGTGCACTAGCTGCTGTCCTTTATCCACATGTGGTTAGTTTAGATGTGCTGTGTGTATAGTTTGTTAAATGCTTCAGGCTTCTCAAGGTAAAATGTTACAGAAATGTAAAGTATTATACAGTGTGGTGCTCTTATATATACTCCCATGTCTTTTGGAGTGTTGAGAAGAAGTTATATTAAAATATCTCATGTTTTTCACAAAAATGTTTGTAAATACTAAATCCGTGAACATAATGAGTATAAAACATGGCCATGTCTCAAAGTGTACTTGGAGTAATGGTGTTAATTTTAATTCCCTCCGTACTGTCTGTCAAATGGTATTTTCAGCAGCCTCATAAAACTATGTATTCTGCTTTTCTGAGTAAAGGTGAACTTAACATGTTGGGAGAGGAAATGTTAGACTCTTAATTAAATGTATTTATTTATTAAATCTCAGTAGAACAGGGATGGGCATCTGTTGTTCTGGACCATGTTCTTACTCTATCACCCCTCGACTATTTTTAAGTAAATCTAGGTAAGACCCTTTGCTCTTTCACTTTGGCTTGGGGTAAAGGGAGGAAGGGGATCTTGATTATTCTTAATTTAAAATTACTTCCTCCCAGTCCCCCATGAGGACTAGTGCATTGGCCCGAGGGCCGCATCACTGACACTCCCCACTTGCTGCCCCTGGCCCTGCCCCCACACCACCCCTTCCATGAGCCCCCCCCCCTGCCCCGCCTTGCCTCTTCTCACCCCTTCCCTGCCCCCATTCCAACCCCTTCCCTGAAGTCCTCACCCCAACTCTGCCCCCTCCCTGTCCCCAGGGGGTGCAGGAGGGGTGTGGCGTGTGGCAGGGGTTCAGGGCAGGGAGTTGAGGTGCAGGAGGTGTGCAGGGTACGGCAGGGAATTGGGGTGTGGGGTGCAGGAGGTGTGCAGGGTGCGGCGGGGGCTCAGGGCAGGGAGTGCAGGAGGTGTGCAGGGTACGAGGGGGCTCAGGGCAGGAAGTGCAGGGTGCGGCAGGGGGCTCAGGGCAGAGAGTTGGGGTGCGGGAGGGGTGCAGCAGGGAGTTCGGGTGCAGTGTGTGGCAAGGGGCTCCAGGCAGGGGGTTGGGATGCGGGGTACGGGTTCCGGCCCAGTGCTGCTTACCTAGAGCGGATCGAGGGTGGCAGCGCCATGCACTGCGGTCAGGGCAGGCTCCCTGCCTGCCTGCCCTGTCCCCGGCCTCGCTCCGCTCCAGGAAGCAGCCGGAGTCCCGGGATGGGGGGGAATGGCACCATGCGCTGCTCTTGCTGCTCCTCCAGGTACCTCCCCCAAAGCTCCCATTGGCCACGGTTCCCAGTTCCCAGCCAATGGGAGCTGCAAGAGCACAGAGCTGTCTACTCGCCTCCCACCCCCCTGCTCGGGGCTGCAGGGATATACAGTAGTTCAGCCGCTTCAGGGAGCGGCACGGGGTAGGTGGGGGAGGGGGAGCTTGGCGGGCTGCACGCAAGAACCCCACAGGCCATGAGTTTGAGACCCCTGGGCTAGATGACCTCCTGAGGTCCCTTCCAGCCATGAGATTCTATGATTCAATGAATCACCACCCTTTGTCTAATTTGTATGCAACAATTCTGTTGGTTGCAATGAGTCGTGAGCAGCCTTAGGATGAGTGGACATGTGTCAAGAGCACTCAGTGGTAGATTACTTGACCCATTATAATTATTCATCTTTCTTTTTATTGTGGTAGCACCCAGCAGCCCCTTGTAACTTTAACTCTGAATTTTCTGGGTTTTTAATGCTTGGTTTGGGGATATTAATTACATCATTCTACTGTTTTTTACCTTTGGTGTTGATATGTACTCTTGACCTTGATTTCATCTAATACAATTGTTTGGTTTGGCAATAGAGAACTTCAGTTCCCGGGGGTGTGTATATATGTGCACTTTTCACAAGCATTCAATTAATACAATAAACTTTCAAATAAAAACATAGGAAATTAAACTAAGTTCAGCTTAGGGATAGAGATGTAAAAGTTTAACCGGTTAACCGATAAGCTCAGTCTTATCGGTTTTGGTTAACAATTAAACTCTGCTGCTGCCCGGCATCCTATGCCTGGGACTCCACTGCCATCATGCGGCCGGGACCCCGGGCACAGGACTGGCAGCCGGGGCTCCGTGTAAAACATGGGGATGCTGCAGCACCGCTCGCACCCATATTTCTCCCCATATGAACTGCTTAACTGTTAACCGTTTAACTGATAAACCGTTTAACTGTTAAATGGTTACTATTTTAAAACCCTATTTATGGATACCATTAAATGTTTCCTTTAAATATAAAGTTCCTTATTTATTTTGTCCTGATTCAAGAGACAACAAATACTTTCTTTATTCATGCAAAACATCAGGTGAGGATGTAATAGCAAAATTCATCATCATGACCATTTTTTTTTTATAACTTTCAGATGTTAAAATATTTGACTAAGACATGGAACACCATGAGGATTTACTACACTACGGTTTACCAGGAAATATGGGTTGGGTTGGCCTTAACCGGCTATGTCTATTACAGACTTTCCTTTGGTGGTAAGTTACATTGTTTCAATCTTAGCTTTAGTGTACTTTGTTTGAAACCTTTGTTGTAAATAAAACTGTTGAAATTAATTGTCTGGAAATGCCCAAATATTTTATTTAAAATCATCAGCAGTTGCTTTATCACCTCACTAAGGCCAGACACTAGAAAAGGTTTATTGGGAAAGCTATACCAGCAAACCCTCCTCATGCAGATACAGCTTATATCAGCAAAAAAAGAGTGCTTTTGCCATTATAGCTTATACTGGTTCCCAAAGTGAAGTAAACTATAAAGGCAAAAGCACTTCTGTGCCACTGCACCTGTATCTACACTAGGGCTTTTGCTGGTATAGAAATGTCTCTAAAAATTACACTTCTAATCAACATTACTGTTCAGGCAAAAGATTTTTAGTGTATACCTGTGTTTTTTTTTTTTTTTTTTACAGTTTAGTAGTTTGACTCTTTTAAATCTGAAAACCAATGGAACTTTTCGAGGGCAATTAGTCCATGAAGTGTACTAATTAGTGTTGTCGAGCAATTAAAAAAATTAATTGCAATTAATCACGCCATTAATCGCACTGTTAAACAATAATAGAATACCATTTATTCAAATATTTTTGGATGTTTTCTACACTTCCAAATACATTGATTTCAATTACAACACAGAATACAAAGTGTACAGTGCTCACTTTATATTTACTTTTGATTACAAGTATTTGCACTGTAAAAAAAACATAGTATTTTTCAATTCACCTAATACAAGTACTGTAGTGAAATCTCTTTATCATGAAAGTTGAACTTACAAATGTAGAATTATGTACCAAAAAAAACTGCATTCAAAAATAAAACTGTAAAATTGTAGAGTCTGCAAGTCCACTCAGTCCTACTTCTTGTTCAGCCAATCGCTCAGATAAACAAGTTTGTTTGATTTGCAGGAGATAGTGCTGCCCGCTTCTTGTTTACAATGTCACCTGAAAGTGAGAACAGGCGATCGCATGGCAAGATATTTACATGCCAGATGCGCTAAAGATTCATACGTCCGTTCATGTTTCAACCACCATTCCAGGGAATGTGCGTCCATGCTGCTGACGCATTCTGCTCAATAACAATCCAAAGCAGTGCGGACCGACGCATGTTCATTTTCATCATCTGAGTCAGATGCCACCAGCTGAAAGTTGATTTTCTTTTTTGGTCGTTTGGGTTCTGTAGTTTCCGCATTGGACTGTTGCTCTTTTAAGATTTCTGAAAGCATGCTGCACACCTCATCCCTCTCAGATTCTGGAAGGCACTTCAGATTCTTAAATCTTGGGTTGAGTGCTGTAGCTATTTTTAGAAATCTCACATTGGTACCTTCTTTGCATTTTTCTTTGCATCATCTCTGCAGTGAAAGTGTTCTTAAAATGAACAACGTGTGCTGGGTCATCATCCGAGACTGCTATAACATGAAATATATGGCAGAATGCAGGTAAAACAGATCAAGGGACATACAATTCTCCCCCAAGGAGTTTAGTCTCAAATTTAATTAACGCATTATTTTTTTAAACATCATCAGCATGGAAGCCTGTCCTCTGGAATGGTGGCTAAAGTGTGAAGGAGCATATGAATGTTTAGCATATCTGGCACGTAATTACCTTGCAACGCCGGCTACGAAAGTGCCATGCAAATGCCTGTTCTCACTTTCTGGTGACATTGTAAATAAGAAGAGGGCAGCATTATCTCCTGTAAATGTAAACAAACTTGTTTGTCTTAACAATTGGCTGAACAAGAAGTAGGACTGAGTGGACTTGAAGGCTCTGAAGTTTTCCACTGTTTTGTTTTTGAGTGCAGTTACATAACAAAAAAAAAAAATCTACATTTGTAAGTTGCACTTTCACAATAAAGAGATTGCACTACAGTACAGTAACTCCTCACTTAACATTGTAGTTATGTTCCTGAAAAATGCAACTTTAAGTGAAATGATGTTAAGTGAATCCAATTTCCCCCATATGAATTAATGTAGATGGCGGGGCGGGGGGGTTGGTTCCAGGGAAATTTTTTTCACCAGAAAAAAAGACTAATATACATACACATACATATATATACACACACACACACACACACACACACACACACACACACACACACAGTATAAGTTTTAAACAATTTAATACTGTACACAGCAATGATGATTGTGAAGCTTGATTGAGGTGGTGAAGTCAGAGGGTGGGATATTTCCCAGGGAATGCCTTACTGCTAAATGATGGACAAGTACTCGGCTGAGCCCTCAAGGGTTAACACATTGTTGTTAATGTAGCCTCACACTCTACAAGGCAGAACAAATGGAGGGAGGCGAGACAGCAAGGCAGATAGAGATAGACATACACCCTGTGTGTGTGAGAGAGAGATGCGCATTGCCCCTTTAAGTACGCTGACCCCACTCTAAGTACATTGCCTTTTTAAGTAGATCAGCAAGTTGAGACAGCCCTTGCTGCCAGCAAGCTCCCTCTGTCCTGAGCCCTGTTGTGTTCCCCCCTCCCCCC